AGAGAGAGAGAGAGAGAGAGAGAGAGAGAGAGAGAGAGAGAGAGAGAGAGAGAGCTGCTTAATCGCAGAGGCGTTCAAGCAACGGCGGCAAAGTTTTGGAGGCATGGGAGCAAGTTTCCGAAATGACCAAGGACTCCCCAAGTCAGAGGTTCCAGTATGAGACCATGGCGGCTACAAATAGACAGGTGTCATGCACTTTACTATTATTAAATCTATAAGAATAAAATAGTTATGGTACACACATCCAGACAAGCATGTCGCGATGGTCAGGAGACCACTGTCTGCACAGTCAGTCCACATTAATTACGAATATTCATGCATCTGGTCAAGGTGTTGTCCAGGTGCATATTAGTTATTCATATTAAAGCATCTGGTCCTCGCAACTGTGTGCACTTTTACGAATCATACAGCCAAGACGAGCGCCATGCAACAGAACTCCCACACCACAAAAAGCAAGTTTCTTCTTTCTTTTTTCTTTTTTCTTTTTTTATGGGGGGGGGAAGACGAGGGAGGGGGCAGTTAAATATACTGTTCCCATATCGAGCGCTTTCTTCATTAAGAACTGAAATCATATGAGGGCCTCAAAGAGTATAGAATCTACAGGTAATACAGTCATTAGCATTGTCCAGACAGACCTTTAGGAATGTCCTGCTGGCAAAGATGATTGCACTCAAATTTTAACTCTGCATCACTGATTAGGAAATATTTGACTCACGCACAAAGTCAAACAGCATGGTGAAACCAGCTCAAGAGTTCGTATGAGAGTGGATGGCAGATGGCAAGGGGGGATAGGTGCATCCCTGAATAGGAAAGAACTGGATTTACAGGCTTCCATTGCAGTAAAGAAGATGGCATCGCAACCTTCAGCCAGCTGTCAAGGGGTTACCCTCCTTATCCCCTTCTACGACCCCGCTCCCAACCCCTCCACGTCAAATTGCACCCATCTGAGATCAAATTGCACCCATCTGAGATGGTCATCGTCACCAGTTTGTCGAGGGGTCATTTGAGGGGATGAACACAGCCTGCATCTGGTGAGGTCAAGATCAAATGGTGACCACTTGATCTTGATCTTGCTCTTGCCACCCGCCTTACAGCAGTCCCTCGCCCTCCCCCCTCCTCCCCTCTAGCCCCCTCCCCTCCCCTCCTTCCATGACCCGTGGACAAACCCCTCTGCAACCCGCAACTGTGATGCCAAGATCAAATGCTGACCGTTTGATCTTGCCACCCACCTTGCAGCCCCCACAGCCGCCACACCCAGCCCTCGGCAACAACCCCTCAACGACCCCCTCGACCAGCATGTGACCAGGACATCAAGTTAACAAATGGGGTGACCATCTGATCTTGCCACTACCTCACAGCAGCTGCACCCATCGTTCGTTCCATGGTGGAAGATACTTCATGGTCCCTCCCTCTTGCTGCTTCTGGAGATTGCACCACCCATCTTCTCATTCCATGTTATTAGCGTCTGTGTGCGACTCTGTGGTTCATTCTTTATTGCCCGGTCCATTTTGCCGGACAGAGGGAGTGGGGTGCAACAACAGGCTCGAGCGGGCTAGCCGCCAACATAACAATTAGAACGCCGTGAGACAGTTCGGTTCCTATCTACCTACCGTTGGTGATTTGAAGAGAACTGCGAGAAGCCATCCCTACCGTAGTACGAGAGGACTGGGATAGGGATGGGTCAACCTATGGTGGACCGGTCTTCATGCCAGTGGCATTGCCGGGCAGCTACGTTGGTCGACTGGGATGGGCATAACAGAAGAGAGGGGCTCGGTAACTGACAAGCTGCAACCATGAGTTCTGGTGATGAGCATGCCAAGAAAAAAAAAAAAGAAAAAAAAAAAAGAAAAAAAAAAAGAAAAAAAAAAAGAAAAAAAAAAGAAGAAGTTTGCCAACAACATGGGTAACTGTTTTTTTTATTTTTTTACCATTTCTCGATTGAAGTGTGTCATCATCCTTGAAAGCGCAGGGGCCATGCTAATTTTCTCTCCCGGTATCGTTCCAATTTTAACGGATGTCCCGAAGGACAAACAACGTGGATACCTAACACAATAGGGAGCATAAAATAATAATAAATTGCTAGGCGAAAATTTTATTACTATTGGAAACAAAACTTACCACAAAGAGTGTGCTGCCCAGAAGGCAGCGCAAACAAAAACTGCGGTGATGATACAGCAAAGAGATTAATAGATTATATTCAATTCATCAACAATGCAGCAACAGTGGGGAGGCGGCGCAAATTATCTCTTAGGCTTTTCTGTCACTTTGATCCAGTCTTTCATCCAAGGCCAAGCGAGATACAAGGAGTCGCCTCCACCCCCCGCCAACACCCGCACCCCTGCCGGCATCCCCAACCCCGCTGACACCCCCACCCCCGCGTCTAACCCCACCCCCACACCTCCCAAAGAAAAGAAAAAAAAAAAGGAGAATCGCTGCAGGACGTAGTGTGGCTTACTTACTAAAGAGTCCAGTTTCATCACAGTGCTTGAGTTTGCCTATCAGGATTTCGCCGACGAACGGACGAAACATCACAAGCCGAAATGTGACCTGCGAAATAACATTGGTGTTCATCCCACCAGAACAACACCATACCATTGTTAGCAGAGCAAATATTGTCATTGAGTAAGGGTAGGTGTACGGTTGGAACAGGGTTTGTTCTCCACTTTTTGCCACTCTTTTTTTTTTTTTCCGTCTTAAACCGCCACTACCTTTCCCACCGTTCGGAAAAGTGGGAATATAGCCTATACACCGCATTCTCCGGGGGTTGGGCCGAACGGCGCCCACGGTAGATAAATTTCATCAGCGAGCGCCGTTTCATTTCGGCCTCCGGAACGTGTGGGGACCCACCCCGCAGCCGATATATTATCTATGTGAAAGGATGTGGTGCTTCAAGTAAAAAAAAAGGACGTGTGATTTTTTTACACAATAGTTGAAGCTATCCACCATTCAGCTGAATAAGTCTATACCATTCAGCTGAATGTGTCCCCGTTCAGCTGAATGTGTCCCCGTTCAGCTGAATGTGTCTATACCATTCAGCTGAATGTGTCTACCATTCAGATGAATCTGTTTACACAAATCGAAATGTGGTCCATTAAAGAAAAAAATGGATCTCGGTTCATTTTGTTAAATCGTCAGCTCACGCACACTGAAGGAAAAAACTGAAGTAGTGCTCTTATCGGTATACGTGGTAAGAGAATTGAGCATTTCGATTCGGGCCTGGGCAGGTAGCGAGAGCGGCCAGCCACTTCAAAAAGGCGCAGTTGCAGGCCCACGAGCCTTGGAAGGTCGCCTCATCAACTTAGGCTCACGCGAACTGGTCGTTTAAGGAGGGGGGGGGAAAAAAACTTTTTTTTTTTTAAACGACCACTTCACATGAGCCGAAGTTGATGAGCCTAAGTTGTGAACAAAAATTATTTTTCTCACGAAGAGGGTGGCCCCGATTCCCCCAAAAGGATCCACAGTTCCAAAGTGTTGAGCTAGTGATTCTGCTCAATTACAGTTGCGAGCTGCATGTTACAAGCGCGTGCCACTCTGCGCAGCCGCATGGGCACAGGATGTGACATGCCGTTCATTGTCTTTTTAGACGGCAAGCGAGAGTTCTTTCTTCTAGAGAAAAGAAAAAAAAGAGTTCCGTTTCATAACTTATATTAAAAAAAGATAGTGTTTTTTTTTTTGTTGTTGTTACTTACTCTATTAAACAACAAGCGTTTTTTTTTTCTTTTTTTCTTTTTCAAAAAAAAACACCATACCATCAGACAAAAAGCGAATTCACTGTAATGAACAAAGAATACTGTATACTGTATTTCAAGTTCTGCACAACAAATCTAATCAAGCTTCACAGATCAGGACTGACTGCATGAGCTTGGTCTGACATTTTGGTAGCTCTTTCTTGTCATTCGTGCGGGTTTAGGCGTGAAATCTCTCTCTCGCTCAGAAGACTCCTGCACCTTTAAAAGAGAGCTGGCGACTTACCATTACGTTTGCACAGACGAGCAATTGAGTATCAGCAAAAGTCCCAAGAAAACAAAAAGACACAAATCTTTTCGTAGCGGCAGATAGGATTCAAACACCCGACGATGTTACATTGTTTTTTTTTTTGATGGACCATTTCTCGATTTTCGCCTGTCATCCTTTGCCAGGGGCCATGCTAATCTCCTCTTTCTCTGTATCGATCCAGTTTTGAAGGTTGTTCCGTAGGACACAATGTTACATTGTGATGAGAACTATGACGCAAAAAAAAATAAAAAAATTGTCACTCGAACTCACTTCCCACCACCGGTACCTTTCCCCGCTTGAAAAGCAATTCTGCGCCAGGTAAGGCGGAAGCCAAGCGGGATTGGGCCGCCGTCAATGAATTGAATTGGCAGCACGTTTCCGTTTCGGGCCTTTTTTCTGCCCGCGGCCGATATATGGGAAAGGTACCGGTGGTTTAAATGTGTAGTTACAGAAAATAATACGGGCACAAGATCACAAGTGACAGTCCCAAAAGCACCCAAAAGCAAGACAGAGTTCAGGTGTTTTCGCAACTATTTTCGGATTGAAAAAAAAAAAAAAAAAAAAAAAAGGACGGAACTGCCAGTCCCAATACAGACAGTATGGTTTTAGATAACATGATGGCACTGGGACCCCAGAGAGTCCCATCTTTCTGTGGCAACTTCTCACAAGGGTATTTTACTATTTTCGTAACTTGAATCTTCGAAAGCCCGGTCTCAAAGACTTTCAAGACTTAAAAAGTGACCCAAAAAAATAGTAAAACACCCTTTCAAAAAAGAAAAGTATACGCCATCACAACCCGACTATACATGAGGGTGTACTCACACTAGGTAGCTCTATCTCATATGTATCTGACCGCATTTACGGCCAGACCTGGATGTATGCAACCACAATTATGTCCAGAAACAAGTAAAAATGTCCTAGTGTGAGTATGCCCTGAGACAGTCGTGACATCAGCAAGAAGAGAGTCATGATGAGATGGAGTCTCGAATACTTCCAAGACTTAAAAAGTCACAAAAATAGCAACATCCCTTAGAAAAAGAGTACCCCATCACAACTCAACTAGAAATGAGACCCCCACTACATCGCCAAGAAGAGAAAGAGTCATGATGAGATGGATAAGTGAACCATATATACATGTACAGATATATATATTGTCACATCACTACAAACTAAAAGAGCGCACTTTGCGGAACAAAGAATAAAAGCAAAAAACGGGCACAGTGATAACATGCAAAAATAAAAAACAAAAAGAAAGAACAAGGGCAGATTGAAACCATTAAATTTCTCATTCTTCTTTGAACTCCACCTCCACTGTGCCTCTCACGTGCAAGGCTCGCCACGTTGATGAAGTTGAGCGCGAGCTGCCCCCATCCCCGTATGCCATAACAGCCC